CTTTCTTTCTTTCTTTCTTTCTTTCTTTCTTTCTTTCTTTCTTTCTTCCTTTCTTTCTTTCTTTCTTTCTTTCTATTCCTGGCTTCTGATGTGGTCCATTTTTGTAGCTAAAACAAAACAAACCAAAACACAAAAGCAAGAACGAGCCCCCATCCTCTCCTCCTTCTCTTCTCCGTCTCCCTGTCTTCGTTCTCCTTCTCCTCTTCTTCAATAATTTATTTTTACTTTGTGGTGTGTGCATGTTTTGCCTGCATGTAGGTATGTGTACTGCATGTATGCCTGGTGCCTGTGGATGTCACAAAACGGTGTAGGACTCCCTGGAACTGGAATTATGGATGGTTATGACTTGCCATATGGTTTCTGGGAATGAAACCTGGGTCCTCTGGAGGAGGAACCAGTGCTCTTGGCTGCTGAGCCATCTCTCCTGCCCTTTCCACTAGCCCCTTTTCCCCGTCTTCTTCCTTTCCTTCTTTGTCTTCTTGAGTTAGGGTATCATATATTTCAAGCTCTCTTGAACTCCGGGTGTAACCCAGGATGACCTTAGACTTTGGACCCTTCTGCCTCTACCTTCTGAGTGCTGGGATTATGGAAGTGTTGCACCATGCATGGTTTACACAGTGCTACCAACTGAGCCACATCCCTAGCCCAACCACTATATCGTTCAAGGTTTTCAGGCTCCCCAAGTTTTCCGTGCATGTGCCCGTGCCTGCAGCATTTGATTCTGTGCATTTCCTTTCAGCTTTATGTGGCCACAGAAGCTATCCTCATTGCACTCATTGGAGCTACACCATCATACTACTGGGACATGGCCGAGCTTCTGCCTAACCAGAGCCACAGCAACCAGTCAGATGGCAAAGACCAGGCCTTTGGGGACTGGCTTCTGACTGCCAATGGCAGTGAGATCCATAAGCATGTGCATTTCAGCAGCAGCTTCACCTCTATTGCCTCTGAGGTAAGTAGGTCACCAAAGTAGCCAGGTGACATAAGTATAAATTCCAAAAGCAGCTATTTTGACTGCAGAGTCCTTTTTAACATGGATTAAACCCACGTTATCAGAGTAAAGTGAAAAAGTACAAAGTGGCCAATGTGTAACCCCCAGAGCCATGTTTCCGTCCCCTGCTGAGTGCAGACACAGGATAGCTTGTGCAGGATAAGTACAGATGGTGCCCTGAGTGTATGCGGGAAACCCTCCTTTGGAGGGCAGTTGCTGACCAAGAGACTCTGGCGCTGCAGAGCCAGCCAGAGATGAAGCAGCTGAGGGCAGTCTGCTGAGGGCAGCATTAAGAAATCATGCTTTGATCATCTTTGTACGTCTGCGGCCCAGCAGCGACAGTGGTAACTGTTCACCTACTGCAGAGACGAGTCGCATCATTGATTGTTTGCTATAGGCCAGACACTGTGATGTTCTATTGTTTCTCTTATTTATTCGGGGTAATTCTGTGGGGGTGGAGGTAGGCTGTTCTCCTTATTTGACAAATGGGGAGAGTGAGACAGTGCTGGTATTTGAACCTAGATTTGCCTGGGAAGCCCGTGCTCTTCATTCTGATTCCAGGAAAGAACGTAAAGTCAGCATCCAGACTCTGATTCTCATCTCTGAGGTTCTTTTTGACTGGCTCTTATTTGTGAATAACTTCAAGCTAACAGAGCTAAGAATCTAGCTCAGTAGTAATATGCTTGCCTATCATCTGTGAGGCCCTTGGCTCAATTCTTAGTTAGGATAGAAAAAAGCCCAACCGTTAAAGCCTACTGTTTCGTCTATTGACGCCTGCTTCTGCTGCACTGTCGCTGTCTGTGCTCTTCAGCCATTTTAAAATTGTACACACCAGTGTCTTCACACTAAGTACTTCAGTATTTTTTGAAAAAAAAAAAAGACATTCTCTCACAAAAAGGAAAATTATGACTATCAGTATAAGATCTAGAATTATCAGCTACCCCTCAGTTACCAACTTGACGGATTGACACCTAGCTGGAATTCATGTTCCATCCACATCCAGCTGTGTCGCTTGATTAACGGCACTCATGACAGGATTGTTGTCTCTTCTAAATAAATCAAATTGGATTCAGGATCCTCTATTACAATTATTGTCCTTAGCTGCTCGGTGTCTGGTGACCTTTCACCTTCCTTTTCTTTGTGACATTATTTTTAGACAATCTGTAGTTCCCCCCCCCCCTTGAAAAAGCCAGAATATTGGTCTTGTTGGGTCTTACTGGTGGTGACTCCATGTTTTCCGGGAATCATCTGAGTCCTCCCACTCCATGTACAGCATGTGACTGTTGTTTCATTTTTAAGGTATCAGAGGTCTATGGGGCTGACTCTCAGAGCACAGTCACTGCTGTTTACCAGATCTCCACCGCAGCCTCGTGGCCACCCACGATTCTTGTGTGGCCCGCCAAAGATAATGTTAATACTCCTTAATCCAGCACACCCTCCACATAAGAGGCCTGGGGCCTGCTTCCTTCTATACGCTGGAATCTTTTCCTTTGTCCCCGTGTCTGTATATTTGGTCTCTATATCTATCAAAAGTAAGTCTGTATAGACCTCTCTTCAGTGATTTATAGATTATTACAGCCCTTAATTATTTTACTACCCAAGTTATCCCCCTGTTTACTTGTGGGGTGTCTTTTCTATATTTAAATTAAAATGACTAAATTTACATGCAGTCACATGAAATAATACAGGAAAAAAAATCCATATTACCCTTTACCCAGTCTCTCCAACATCATCATCTCCCCAAACCATCATATGGTATCTCAGCTAAGATGCTGACATTGCCGTGGCTGCCTCTCAGCACGGGGATTCTCTTGCTGGCCTGTTAGAGCGGTTTTGCTTCCCTCCAATGGCTTACCCTTTCCTAGTTCCTTCTCACTACAGATACTTTCTCCTAAACTATGATGTTGTTGCTTGAAGAATAGTATAAAAACCAGAATCTGGAGACTTTTGTGATTTTTTTTTCACTCAACTCAATTCTCTACTGGCTGGCCTAGGAGTGTAGTATTATAGCTACTAATGAAGTTGGGGTGGTTTAGGTTGATTCTTCTTGCTTGATTCTTTTCCAAATCATATTTTGATTCTTTTCCATTTATACGGAAGTTTTAGAATAACTTTGTCTGTATAAAATATTTGAGGAATTTTTTATTAGGAGTTTTGCCTTTAGCCTGTATTTGAGTCTACTGGCGTTGTTACCAGGTACAACTTTTTGCAGAGTGGTTTCTAGCTTCACCAATCACAAGCCGTTGGCTTAGTTCCCTCAGATCCTGGGTGAGAACAGCTGCAGCTTGGGTAGGGCCACCCAAAGTTCACCGAGGCTGGTCATGGCTGAAGCAAAGTCTTTGCAAGCAGGTGTAATTTTGATTTGTCAGAACTTGAACAAGGCCTCTTGAAGGGTCATAACATCAGCACTCATTGTGTTTGTGGGTCTCTTTCTACCTGGAGTGGTCCAAGCAGCAGGGTTGCCGTGATGCTGGTCTGGCTGAGTGGCAGTAAGTGACTGCTTCGCTGGAAGTCTCAGGCTCCAGGGAAGCTCTGACAGCACAGCCCTAACCAGGGTTTATTTGGAAGAAAAGCAAGCACCACGTGGTACTCACAGTGAGCTCTTTCATGACGCCAGCATTCTTAACAGTACTTGGCGTGCTTACTTAGCGCTCAGCCAATACCTTTATGGAGCTTTGGGGTCTGTGTCCGTCTCACTTTTGACCTGCTGATTTCTCCAACATCTAGTCTTATATATGAGGCTGGAGAAACTGGAGAGCACATCACTGTGCCAGTTCTTGAGTCCTAGAGTCCCCAGATGGATTTTCCCCTACTTTTCAGAGTCATCTTGTTTTTGTTTCATGTGTAATGTTCAGCAGAGTTTAGGGGGAGAATAGGAAAAGTATGTCTACCTTGTGCTTGCCTTGTGCCTTTACCCTTCACAAAGTAGACATCCTCTTATTCATTTTGGTTTTTAAAAGTACTTGAGAGGCCATTGTTGAGGGGTAGAAATGTGTGGCCCAATAGTAGAACTTTGTATTACATGCATAAGGGCCTGGGTTTAAACCCCTACACACACACACACACACACACACACACACACACACACACACACACGAGGGGGGGGAAGGCATGTGTGCATGTCTCTGGGTGTGTGTCTGTGTCTTTAGCCTAATATATCCCAAGTTACCTATCAGCTCCCATGTGCAAGCTGTGATATCAGTCATCTTTCTAGGAAACCCTGGTTCCATTTAGTTTTCCCTAGGATTGTGAAGTGGGTGAGAGCTGTAGCTATATTCTTTAACAAGTCCATTATCACATTATAATGAAGTGAGTCTCAGACAAAAGTCTACTACAGATGTAAACACTTCTTAACCTAATTATCACCACCAAAGAAAATCACAGTAAACCTTCCTGCAGGCTTGAGGATCCTGACTCTTTTGTCTCTTGAACACGGCTGCCCCTCAGGATCCTCTTGCATCAGGCAAGAGACACTTCTAGAGTTCAGATAGTTCAGGACTGAAATGGGGCCACCCCAGTAAGTGAAGAGTATGGACCACACTGCTTAGCTCAGAAGTTCCTCACAAGGTGTAGGGAGCGTCATCCCAACACAACTGAGCTAATCTGTGTATCCTGAAATCTGTTCAGTTCGCCATTAGTAGCCTTTTTTGCTTGATTTGCTTGTGGTACTGGGGATTGAACCTTGGGTATTGCATATGCTAAGCAAGTGCTGTCTTCATATCTTTTACTTTTAATTTTGAGACAAGATCTCACTAGATTTTCCTGCCCCTTCTTGAACTTACTCTAGTCCAGGCTGGCCACTGCCTCAGCTTGCCAGGTAGTTGGGATTCTAGGCCAGTGAAAACTAGGCCCAGTGCTTATGCAGACTATCCACTGAGCTGACTACGGTAAGCAACACTGTGCTTCAGCGCAGCAGGCATACAACCTACTGTAGTAGAATTGAGTGAAATTCATACTAATGAAATGAGTAATTAGAAGCCCTTCTTACTGGAACACCACCACAATTACCCAGTGTTCAATGAGCGACTACTAGTTGCCTCATGATTGAAAGGACTCCACAGAAGGTGGGAGAGTCACTGGACTCTACGCTTCATGCCAGCGGGACTAGGCCACCCGTCTCCCCATGTCCTTGTGTTCCTACCCTGGCGGCTCACAGTAAGCAGTGCTCCATGGCTGAGAATAGATAGAAGGGATCTCAGAGAGCTACCTCCTCAGAGACAGAGGTGGTTGGTGAAGGAGAAGTGGAATTAGGAGGCTTCTCCAGCAAGCTCAGCCCTGAGATATCCCTGAGAATGAAGGGTTCAGATGGGCTTTGTCCTACCAGCTGCTTCTTGTCCCAGCAGAGTGTGTCTGCAAGTTCCAGTCTCTCTCACCACGTGTCTGTCAGTCTGCATCAGTGTTGGCTCCTTCTTCCTGCCTTCCCCTTTGTACTATCCATCTTCCATCTCTGTCATTTTGACTTTGTGTGTTTCTGTTTGTATCCATCTTTCCCCGCTGTTGCCTTCTCTGAACTTACCTCCCTATTTCTCTTCCATATAGAGCTTTTATGTCACAAGTTCTCTGACTTGCTGGGCATGATGGCACACTCCTTAGAGGCAGGTGTGTGGCTATGAGCTCAAGATTAGCCTGGTCTACATAGTGAGTTCCAGGCCAGCCAGAGTTACATAATGAGAACATATTTGCTGTTTTCTCCATGTGCTTCTCTGTTTCCACCTTTCATCCTCTCTTCCTCTCTGTCCCCTTCTTTTCCTGTAATACTTGTTTGTCTCTTTTCCATTTTCACCAGTACCTTCTAAGATGCCCATATCTGGGTACATATGCTATGTCTTCATCTTGACTGTAGGTGTGTGATTTCTTTCTGAGGCATAAAGGCATATAAAGGTCCGCCCCTTTCCTACCAGAGTCGTATTGCAGTGCATAAATTACCCTGTGTATGGTGAGCCTGCACCTCCAGCAATTCC